ACGATAGGGTGTTAATCGTGCAACAGATGTTGCGTTCAGATGAGGACAGTCTTCCTTTTGCCCGAGATAAATCTATCGTGCATTAAGTGGGTGTTACGCGTGGGGTCGAGCACGATTAGGCGATTACACGCTTTCACGCGGCGTGGTAGGCAGTTCCGCGCGATAGGTACCCTAAAATTGGGGGACCAATTCATGCGCCCCCGTAACTGTTCTACTTAGCACTTAATAAACACACTCGATTGAATTGATACCGAATAAGCGTCAGTAATTGAACCGAGTACGAAAGAGCTTTGATCTTATCTCAGATGAAAACAAGATTTCATAGTACATAAAATTTACAAATTCGAGAATAATAAATTAAAAATATTATTTTAAAGAACTGAATAAAGTAATAATAAAATTTTATATTTATTTAAAAATGCGACTCCGATCATTTATTGAAGTCTCGATTAAAAATACCTATAATTTTCTAATTTCCTACACAAAACTTGTTTATTTCTTTATTTTAAAAACCGTTAACCTAAGATTTTTTTTATTTTTAAACTTATTTAACCATCTGGTATGCAGTATCATCTCGACTTGAAGTTAAGGTCTCAACCGAGGTCAACATTAAGAAGCTCGGTAATTACGGTCTGGATTTTTGTAACAACACTTAAAGTAAAATATTGCGAAAAGGATGTTCCGTCTATACGGTATATCAGATAGCGGTCAGCACATCGTCGTCTTGATTATCGCGTGACGATTATGATGGAAAGTTGCGCATCAGGTACGGTGAATTAACGAGCATAACCGCCTTGTGCCGATTTGCGCTTTTGCAATTGGATTTTGAAACGATTTCCCGATCGCGATTCGTGACACGCGCTTAACACTAGTGGTATCGAAGAGCACATTGACCGGATGTAACGTTGTAATCGTTCCTCTCTCAGATATTAATGTAATTACTATATTTTGAAGTAAACATAAAACGACAGATGATTTGCATTGACATTATCAAATCATTAAAACGCGTTGTTGAATGTAATTATTATTTTATAAAATAAACAGTATGATTGATTAACTAGATATTATATGATTACAAAATTGCATCCTGTTCGTAAAGATAAGTAAAATATAGTAAAAAAAATTTAGTATTTGTGTTAGAAATAGTCCATTCAAGTTCTTGTTAAAATTTTGTGTTGAATTTTTAACATATCCGAGTGTTAGTTTAACATAATGTGATTGACTTATTTCAATATTTTGTATTAAAATGATGTTCAATATTTTTTAGTGTTAAAACAATACAATTCATGAGTTAGTGAACAACTAACACAAGAATAATGTTTTTTAAAACATAAATGCTATGATAAATGCATAAAATGTGTTAATTTAACATGTTAATTTTAATGAAGAAATAATTCCTTACAAATTTATGACATGATATCTGAAAAACATCTTGATGACATCTTCAAGACGTTTTATGTTCGTATTTGGGACATTGTTTTTTGCGTAATTAGTTATTGGTGAAAAAAAGCATTAATCCAGTCGCTTAATAGTGTCGCGAGTAAGATTCCGTTTTCGTATGCACTGAGCTGCATTTCGGTCGCGCGACTGTTGCTCCTTTCACGATCGATCGATCATTACCAAATTCCTCAGAGTACGTTACACTCAATGCCGAGTATTCAGACACGCTCGCAACAATCGCGAGCGATCATGACGCGATTCGCGAAGCAATGGCGCGGCGGCGGTTTCTAAACTCGATGGAATTTCTTTCCTAGAAGCAGGATCGACCATGATTTCACGAGTTGCGATTGTCGCCATTATAAGTGCCGACATAATGCTTCGTTCTTATTCTTGGCGTGACTTCCTCGCCTTTTCCGCTGGCGGTGCCCCATGTAATTGGGTTACGAGAACGACCGTCTACATTGTTACGAGTACTCCTCCTTGGCAGTCCTTCGACATTATCCTGTCCCACTATCGTGTTAACAACGTTTTGTACTTTGATCGCAGTTCTAACTAGTTTTCGTCGCTTACCTCACTCGAGGTCTGCGATAATTTTTGCATTCTTATCAGCAACTGCATTATACGCTAGCCTATCTGCAGTCGCCAATATTTACACAATACTCGTAGATAGAAAATATTCGCGAAAAAAATCGAGGCGATCGCTGTCACGAAATATATCTCGATTATCTTAATCTAAGTCTTTCGTAACGTTATATAAAATTGGTCATATCAAATATTAATTCCCAAAGACACTGTGCAGCGATATCAAGTCTTTTCCAAATAATTAGATGGGCGCATCGCTATTATAAAATTTACAGCGGCTTCAATTGATGCACCAGCCGTTGAGCAGTGTCGTGTAATTACTCGATGCTCCATATACCGCTCGCTCGTCGTGCAGGATTGAAACGCGCGCTAATCATTTAATAATAAATCGCCAATAACTCCGTTCCAGTTCCGTCAAGATGACCCAAATAATGCACTTTTCGACCATCGCGGCAATAATCGGTGACAATTATGACAGCGTGTGGGTAGCAATGGGGGTTATTGGGCCGTGTAAGAGATAAAAGAAAAGAAAAAAAGGGGGAGGGTACAAGAGATGGGTACGTTTTTGGATAATGACCCACGCGCTCGAGCGCATCCTGCATGAAACGGATAATTGAAGTGGGTGCACCGTGATTAATTAACGTCCACGCACGACCAACCGTTGCACCGTCGGCCGACCGGCTTTTATATCTGGTTGATCGTTCACCCGACGTTTCGCTGTGAGACTGATTAATTAAGTAACAACTGTCTGTCGGATCATCGATGGGCCTTTATTGCGCCCTGAAACTGTCTATACTACGCGTAATACTTCGGCATTACCGCCGAGAGAAAGTTTAGTCTTTCGTAAAAAAGGAAAAACGCCCGTGGAACGCCAATTTCTTTCGCAATAAATTTTCTACGACATGGACCCACCGAGGGCCAACGTGTTATTATCGCACTAAGTTGTGTGACTCATGGTATAAAACTGAAAGCGTAACATTTATAATCATTCGACTCGTTTGATTGCTATTCCGAATTTCACGTAATCGCGTTTAATTAAGCTCCTATGGATGAAAATGCTTGTCCTGTCTGGTCACGTCTCTTTTAATATCTTTCGAATATTTTCAAATTTACATGCGATGCGATTATTCTCTACGTCAAACATGTACTTTCACTTTAAGTTACCTCTAAACAAAATTACAATTACGAGAAAATTAAAAAGTTAATTATTTTTAATTTTTACAAGTAATTAATATATAAAGATTTTGTAAACAGAAAAGAATTTATCAATTTAATTAACGGCCTTCTCTGATAAAAAATTAAAAAATGTTTAAGAAACTATACAATATCGACGACTGTGGAAAAATTTTGAGAAATCATTTGGGAAACAGTCAATTCAAAGATCAAGATCGCAATAAATCCGTTATCAGAGGACGGAAATAAGAATCCGTGCTACCGCGACATTAATTGATAAGAAAAGACATTGGTATGTACTTAGTAGTGGATATTCAAGTTTCACTCGCTGTATAGAATCTTAATCGACTCTCCATCATTTATCTTACCAAGTAGTAAATGTACGACTTTAATTGCGGAACTTATTTAGAAAAGCAGCCTCTGTTACTTTAAATTAATGACCACGATCAAACTCATTAGACTATCAGCGGGATTCAGCAGATTAACTAAGCAGCAGATGTCAAGAAAAAAATAATTATCGCTGTTACATGCACTTGCCTTTTCTCCTATTTTAATTTTCGCACGACGCTTAGTCGGTTATGAAGATTTGTCGGTTAGCGAAACATTCAAAGGAAATCCCAGCAGGCGGCGCCACGAGATTAGCCGATCGACTTACCGATCATAGAGAGAGCTCTAACGATTTAAAGCGATTCATTGGTAACTGTTGCAATTAAAAGTCTCAGACTATTTTATATAATTAATAAATTATTTCAAAATGTAAAAAGATAAATATTTATAAAAAAGTAAATATACGTTTAATATTAAGTAAATAATAAAGAAATATAAAGAGGAATCTGTTATCGACTGAGAAGAAAATGTTAGATTTATAGTCAAGTAGATAATATAGTGATCTGCTGCATATTGTGTGTGCAACAGATCACTATATTATTGTGTGGGTAATGCATGAGATATTAATTTGAAACAAATGAAAAACCAACTTAATATTTAAAAATAATCAGTATAAAAAAGATATATTTATAAAATTATTCTTCTATTTTAGAAAATGTCAAGTGAAAGAAATAATATAACAAATTCTTTTATTACTTTAGTATTCTAAACAACAAACTGTGGCACACAATGCGTGTCTTTCTGCTGATTGCTTGCTTTGATAAATTGCTAGAAATTCTGCGATCTATGTTACGCAATGATAATTAATAACAATGATAATTAATGTAAATGAATCACGGGACATATCACATAAAGAGCCATCTCAAAAAATATAGGTACTTTCGCGAAATAACCGACTAGAAATAAATGCGTTCAAGCGAATCTTGTCCTTAATCCTGTGATTTTAATTTGCACAAACATTCTGCGGGAACGAATGCATAGTTAAAGTGAATATCTTCATCGTTTTGCACCGTTCTCTATTCTGCACTTTGCAAGAACGCGCTTTCTGACCATATTAAGTCTACAGGTGCGAAAGGAATAATCATTTTCGCCTTCCTCTTTTTCGGCGTCGTCACGATTCCTTCCGTGTTATTTCTTCATTCCGCTGGCAGATAAATAAAAAAAGGGGGAAGTGTGTGCACACTTGGCAGGGGTCTTTGCAACAGTCCGCCTGTCACAAAGGAATCTTTTATTATCTCGCACTTATTGCAGCCACCTTTCGAGTCCTTCGCGACGGAATTTCTTTCGCATCGAAGCGTGACGGGCGGCTCAATGGGTCGCGAAAAAAGTGAAATCTTCTCTTAGGAGAGCGACTCGATTCCTCTTGGAGCTCCCCTTTCGATTCCATTAACTGCTATGGGACAATCAACGTTACTCACCATCGACGTGAAGTAAAACTTCTCGAATTCTCGCTCGTGAAGACGTGCCGACGTCAAGTTCGTCGCTGTATGTTGTGCGTGCTTCGACAGAATATCTTCGCCTTTCTTGCAAAGCCACGATAGTACCTGCAATTTTAAAAAATTGAACCCAGTTATATTAATTTCGGTTCGTAAAACGTTATTGATATAAGTAATTAAAGATCAGCAACTTAATAGAAAATTTTTTAATTCAGTTAGAGAGACAAATTACATATTCTATATGTAAGTTATTAATAAAAACTGATTTTAATAAACTTTTCAGAACATAAAAGTATATATTTCAAATATTTAGATCATTTAAAAATCTCTTTTTTACTTCGTGTTTGTCATTTTGATATTAATTTCGGAAATAAAAGTGATAAAGCAGTGAAACGATGTTGTTAATTATTGTTACTCTATCTTTCAACTGCAATCGCTTCAGTGTTTTTTTTTCTTTTTAACGAGTTATCGAATGAATCGCAGGCAAGATATACATAAAATATCATATACATAAAATGATGCTTTAAAACATAACCGGTCTTAAAAGGAACGAAGACATAATTTACACTGGAACAATTATCTTGTATTATCTCTCAAATCCGCAACTTTTCCTTCAAGACTGATATTTAGGAGGCATAAAATATATTTGGAAATTTCTATGTAATCGTTTATAGCTTCATGGATCTATTAAACCCAAATAATAAATCTATTATTATCAATTATAAATCTGTCAAAAATGTCAAAAGATTCAATTTTCTCTATGTTACATCTGCAAATTTGGATTATTCTTATTAAAATAAACTTAGTATTCATTCTCTTTTTTATGCCATTTTAGTTCCGTAAAATTAGTTAATGCCTTTTAATTAACGTAAATTAAATGGTCTTACAGATCCAAGTAACTATGTTGTTACTGATTTTAGTCCGAGTACTGATAGCTACATATGTATGTACGTTGTTTTAATATTATTAACATCGAATACTGCCTAGCATTGTTAATGCTAAAATCGGATTGAAAAATGGGTTCTCGTAACAATAAGCGGATTTGCACCGAACAGCCATTAAAACACAAGTCCATTCTCGAAAAACAGTACGCATAGCTTTATCTATTGTATTGTAAAAATGTCGGTGTTTAGTAAAGCTAGGCAGTGAGTGATTGCTGCGCATCCGAATTCGCCGGATAATTAAAACTCTTTGGTGTGGCTGTCTCTGACTTCGCAATCACGTGGGAATTATTTATGGCAATATCACTTAGTAATATCACACACGGGATACGTAGATATGTTACCAAGAATATGTTGCTCCATTTCGATCATAAGTTTGTACAATAGATGTAACAAGACAATACTATACTCACACAAATCGACGACTCGCCACGATTAGTCACGTCTTACGCAATTCCTCCCGGCAAGAAGATCTCTACCAATGTTCGCGATATTCTTTGTTATGCAATCGTAGTCTTCATTATGACGTAACTGAACGATCAAACGACAGAAATGATCCTTTGATAATGATCGGTCCATGTCGAACGCGTGCTCTCGCTCGGTATTGCCACATTTGCCGTCATGCTCCAGAACTCGCAAACAAACGATGGACGTATCGCTCGGGGAATTATTGCTTATGACTTATGACGACTTAATGCTCGCTCTGGTCAAAGTATTAATCGTCGGTAATTTTAGCGGTATATATTTCTGCCGTTGGACAGTTATAATGAAAAGATTGCAAAATGTAACAGTCCTAATATCTTCAAAATGCCAAAATATTATATATTACGAACATGTATCTCAATTAGACATTCGCGTGAACAGAAAAAAAGTCAAGAAAAAAATAGGAAACTTATATAAAGCAAGTTGTCAAAAACGACAACTGTAATTTGCAGCACGTAGATCCTGAAATTGGATCTAAATCGAGACATTCTAAATATAATAGCTATCAATCTTGGTTATTATTTTCTATTGTACAAAATAAAAAATTGATTCGATAAAATTGTGATCGAAGAAGAAGATAAATTCGATTCCATTTACCGATTTCTCCTTTCTTTTTCCTAATCAAAGATTAGTCTCATCTGCATAATCTGACTTATAATACGATCTCTGATGGCTCGATGTCACCCTCCGTCATGGTCTTGTATCTGTCGTGGTCGTTTCACCTGTCACACACATGTCGTCGAGAACCAAAGTATGTTTCTTAGAGGGAATTTACAACGACGACGCGCACATCGAAGATCTTGTTGATAATTAGATCGCTTCTACGTGCGCGTCGCGCGTGATAAATGGCTAATCGTCCCACCACAACGCATCAACGAGTGGAAAATATGGAGGATAATTAACAGCAGCAGCCGTACGAGAATGCACCGGAAAGGAAAGTGGACAAGCAAGGGAAAATGTTGAGAGAAGAAGAAAGAGAAAAGAACAAAAATAACAAAAAGAGTTTTGCCATGATGTTGCGTCTAAAATTAAGCCTAAAATAGACAAAATTTTATATAAAAAGAACATTATTAATTTCAAACGTTAAAAAATTACTTATAATTTGTTTATAAAAAAAAATCCTGTGATTTTTGCTCAAATCACCGATTTCCGCAGTTTCAGCATGCTTCTCGCAAAGAATACAAATCGTAAGAAAGACTTGTGACACCGAGAGACCTGTTGTATCTGGGAACACATTAATTTTGTTTTTAACCCAGCCCTCAGATATATTATTTCAAAAAATTTATATAACTGAGCAGTCAACATTAATCCTCGACTAAAGCAACAATTAATCATTTGGACCAAACCGAAAATTTTGCAGGCTATTCTACAATCTGATTGGTACTGAGGGTCTAAATTGTAGGTAAGAAAACTTGGAGCCTTTCTGTATTAATCGCGTAGATTTATTTGCATTTTGTACTTCAAACAGAACTCTTTAAAACTTAGATATAGTTTCATACTACTAGCAGTAATTGAGAGTTAAAAATCTTGTTAAAAAAATAATTAGTGTGTCCCAAGATACAGTCTCCTTTACTTCACATTATTAAGATGTATATTATTCAAATTATTTAAAAGTACATCGCATGAAAGATTGTGTCCGAGATGAAATGAAGACAAACGCATCAGAATATTCGCCGATGTTTGCAGATATAAGACAAGAGCTGTATACACATGAGCATCAGAAGTGAGGAGGAAGGGGACTCCGCCTCTGCAAAGAAGGTGGACCTCTTGAAGGAGCATGATTGGACCCGAGGAGAAACGGAAACCGCTTCGATCATAAGCAAACCACGGCTTATTTAGGTCACTGGGCCGCGTTAGGTGAACCGCCGATCGAATGTCGTGCATACGACTCTGTACAACACGCGGATCCTTCGAGTGTGCAAACCGCTTGTCTGTGGAATGGTAATGTAGGAGCGGACAGCGAATTTCGCGTATCGCCTTTGATCGCGTACGATTTATCTCACGCATAGATCGCGCCCGAGAATCACGCACACCGTTGCGATTTCTAGGTAAATATGCGAAGAACGGATACGCGAATGTTCATTGTACAGATTAGAGAATGGTATTTATGTCTCGTGCAACGTCTTGTCCACTTAAACGCTCGAACGTTTGATTTCGCCAAACGCACGCGACGACAATGCGAAAGAAATATAAAATACAAGCTATGCTCTTATTTTCTAATAAACAGTTTTCTAATAGAAATATTATTCAAAGGCAAATATAAAATTTCATTTTTTAAAAAAGTAAGAGCAAGAGATGTCACAACATGATAAAGGATAAAGGATACTGTCCATTCGTAGTAAATTCATTTGCGGAAAAGAATAATTACGGCACAGAAACTTAATTTTTTTTACTAGATGCCGATGTGTCAGACAAGTACCGGTCGTTTTTGCAACTTCTCAACTCCGAACGTTGAGTTATCGATCGGTCGGGGAGGCAAACGTGGGAAATGAAAGTTAAATCACGCGCTAACTAATGTACACACTTCGCGCAGGCCATAAAAAGATTATAATATATCATCATCCAGGAATTATATGCATTAAAAGCCGCCGGTATTTAAAGCGGGCGTACGAATATTTCATGTGCGACGTGGCCCGAGCGTGACGCTTAACCCAATTACGAATTTTTCAAACTCTGTCTCGAGAGCGAAGAGAACCGTCGTCGTGTCATTTCGTATCGATCGAAAGTATATCGGTTATCGAGCAACGCGTGAAGCACGTGGGAAGTAAAAACTAAACCGCCGTGTAAAAGCGACGTGCGTCTCATTGCAAAATTAACGCTGTATAAATCATCGTGCCAGTGTTGCATTCATCGACATTAGTGGAGGCTCACTCCCGACGTCGCACATTCCGTAACCGTAAGAACCATTAGATCATAAGAAGCGAGACATGCAAGTGAGTATCTCGTTATCATCGTATTTTCCTCCCCTTCTTCATGATTCTCCCTTGATCCTCTTGGAAATACTTGTATGCGATTTTTTTTAAGCTGCTGGTTTACCATAATTGCAACATCTCTGGCAACATTGCTTGACATGAATGAAAATACAATGTAGAATTTTGAATAGAACCAATGTATCCATACGAAATGAACTTTCAAAAGATTCTACAGACTCGTGAGATTATAAATATTCACACAGCGGAAAGTATTACAAGAACCAAGACCTTTTGCCATCCATTTAATGTTAAATTCTCACTTTGCGATGAACATGGTTCTGAATATCGACTGCGGAGTTGTCGGTGTAAAGTGGAAAAAATCACGTGCGCGCGCACTAAAAAAGTTACTTGCATTGATTTGAATATCGTTAAGAGATTCGATACGCCACTCGGCTATTACTACCGAAACGATTCTCGTAAGATGCAACACTGAGTCTCGTACCGTCCCGTTAAGGGAAAGATACACGGAAACCTCTTCGATCATAAGCAGACCTTAGGTTATACGGGTCACTGGGCCGTGCTAAGTGAACGACGATCAAATACCGTAAACACGTGTGCGCACATATAGCATGTATACGTGTGCGTGAGCGTGTGTATGCGGCGCGATGAGGTGAGTCAGGTGCGAGCGTGCAAACGAACGTTGCACCGAGCCACCTCCTCCTCCACCTTCTCTTCCTCGCCGCAGCATGCAGCGATCTCACGCGTCGCGACC